TAGGCCGGGTAGGCGGGACAGCCCTGCCTCATCTGCAGAAGCAGCAGAAGCTCTGATCCCGGAAGCCAGCGAGCAGGCCTGCAACAAGCTTCCACCTAGCTGTGGTCCCTACCTAGAGCCTTGACTCTTCTGGTGCTGTCCCGAAGACACAACAGGAGGCTGTAAAAGTCCCCAAAATATAACACGTCCTAACCCCTGGGACCTGGAACTACCGTATGCTGTGAAATAGGACTCGGTGGAGGTTATTAAATGAAGGATTCTGAGATGAGGAGGTTATCCCGGAGTACCCAGTGAGCCCCAGTGCAATCCCATGTATTTATGAGGAGGAGACGGGGCCAACCCCATGGCATGGTAGTGAAGCACTGTGTAGAGGAAGCTGGATCCCACGTGACCGAGAGCAGGTAGAATCCCAGCCTAGGTAGCAACACGTTGGGGTGCATGAGCATGGACTGGGATCCTGACGGATAGGGAATTAGAGGAAAACGGATTGAGGTCAACCAGGCCTTGTCAGGAGTTCTCTGTCTCTCTCTCTCTCTCTGTCTCTCTCTCTTTCTGTCTCTCTCTCTTTCTCTCCTATGTGTGCACACATGCACCCACACAGCCTCTGACATTAAAAAACAAAGCGGGAGACAGGAAGACTTCACACACACAGGTGAGAGGTGATGTGACCACGGAGGCAGAGACTATGGCCTAAGCCAATGAAGGCTGACAGCCCCATAAACCAGAGGAGGCAAGGAGAGGATCCTACCCCCGAGACTTCACAGGGAGAACAGCCCGCTGGAGCCTTGAGAGTCTGGCTCAGTGAAACTAAGACTGGACCGGAGCTTTCCTGAACTGTGAGAAAATGAATTTGTAGGGCCAGCCAGTGGTATGGTGGTTAAGGCCGCTGAATCCCACACGGTCACTGTACAGTTCGAGTTCCCCTCCTCCCTGCCCAGAAGCCAAATCCCCAGGAAATGGTCTCAGAGGATCCCAGGAGCTCTGCTCTTCAGAGGGGTTTCCTGGAAGAATTCACTGGTTTCCCAGAAAATGTTCTGGTGGTCTTCCCTCTGTGTGTCTATAATGCAGTACTTTCGTTGGGCCGTAATGAGCTTACAGACCCGATGTATCTGCGTTTGACATCTGCAATGTGTCCATTAGGCACAGCCCAAGAGGCCAGCAGCTGCTGTGGACACGTGCGAGGTCATCAAGATGATGCAAATGGCCTTTTGAAGGGCCCCAGGTGGAAGGCAAGAAACTCGAGGTCCCTTCCCTCCTCCTGGTGTGGAGGTGCCTTTCTTTCTCTGGATGTGAGTTTTTACACAAAAGAGGTGGTATTTCAAGGCCACCCAGAACCCCGGTGCTAAGCCAGAAGGGTGGAGTTCAGATCTCAACAGAACTCCCAGCTATGGAACTTTGGGAGAGTGATTAAGTCACTGAGCCTCAGTCTCCCCTTTGTAAAATGATGGTAATAGTGTTATTCAGCACCTACAGTTGTAATAATTACATGGCAAGCCCATGCATGTAGAGCTCTTTGCACGGAATCCAGTACTTAGAAAGTCCGCGATGTCTTGGTTGCAGATGATAATAATTAGGATACTCAGAAAAAGAGGAAGAAGTGGAGACTAGAATGCCTGGGGTGTCGAATTGGGAGAGTCATGGGGCTGGAGAAAAGGAGGGAGGGAGCCATAGTTGGCGTTTCAAGAAAGTGAATAGAAAGTCTACATTTCCTTACCAATAATAAAGCCACAAAGGATAACAAGAATGGCAACTTTCTTTGCTTTGGACAGAAATTCCATTAACTCCCTGGGGTCAACTGAAAGACTTCGGAGTTAAGCAGACTTGTACTCAGGCAGGGTATGGGACATTGAGTAGGGAGGGTGATGTCCTCAGTGGGAGGCTGATAGCACCCGCCTTGTGGAGCAGTTACAAGGATTAAATAAAATACCGGGCAGAAAGCACTGAACACGGCCCTGGCACGCGGTAGGTACTCGGTACGTGACAGTGACCGCTGCTGATACCCATCCTGGCCTTCCTAGGCCTCACTTCTTCCCTGGTGAAAGAGGAATAACACCGTCTGCTTTACTCATTCCACAAATATTTACTGGGCCAAGTTCTGTGAATACAAAAATGCATTCACCAGACACAGTTCACGGCCTCTCAGAGCCTGCGTTTTGAGATCGTTCATTATTCATTCTTTCAACAAACATTTTTACTGAACATTTACTATACAACAGGCTACATAATGGGCAGTAGAAATACAACGGTTAGCAAAACCCACGCAATTCCCAGTCACCCACAGAATTACAGCCTACAGAAGATGAAGTGAAATGACCTAGTGAAACGCCTAGCACGCAGTAGGCCTCAATAAATAAGTGATCTGGGTGCTAACCAGAAGCTGTGCATGCACAGCCATCATAAAGTGTGGGAAATTAATACTTTCTTAACACATGGAAGTTGGTAGACTGGGCTTTCAAAGTCTGTGGGAAGTAAAAAGAAAATGAAATATTCAGATATAACTTCACAATATATGTACAAGATCTATGAACTAACAATAACAAAATGCCGATAAAAGAAAACAAAGAAGATCATAATAAATGGAGAGGCATACCGTGTCCATGAACTGGAAGACATTACATAGAGATAATATGAATTCTCCTCCCACACTCCTATTAGGTCAAGTTTTCGTAGACCTAGGTCAAGTTCTGGTAGACAAACTTATTCTAAAGTTTATGTGGAAAGACACATGGTCTAGAAATACTGAAAGGACCCTGACAAGGATGTGACGTGTAGTAATATCACTCTACTCAATGTTAAGGCTTACTGTGTAGCAGCAGTAATCAAGGCCTTTTGATATCAATGCAGAGAGAAAGACGTCAATGAAACAGAATAAAGAACCCAACATAGACCCACGCAAATATTCCCAATTGCTTTTTTAAATTAAGATTTACATATTTATTTTCATTTTGTATAAGGCACATGTGCTCACCAGAGAGAGACAGAGAGAGAGAGAGGGAAAGTGAGAAAGAAAGCCATCAGGTCCAGACTCAAACTACAGTCAGCCATGTGGGAGACCAGCGCCTTAACCAACATGCTTCCTGCTAGACCCTCTTAATTGACTTTTGACAAAGGTGCAAAACCAATGCAGAGGATAGCCTTTTCAACAAATGGTGCTGGAACAATTGCACAGCCACACCCAGAGATTAAAAAAAAAAAAAGTGCCCAAGATCCCAAGAGGACACTGGGGGAGAAAGGAATGTGGCAAGGACATCTCTCCTGGGAGGTGATTTCTCACTTTCTGTCTCTTAGTCTCTCTGGTGAGTGCATGTGCCCTATAGCAAAAATCTCTCTTTAAAAAAAAAAGAAAAAAAAAAAAGATTGTGTCCTAAACTTCACACCTTACACAAAAATTAATTCCGAAGGGATTATGGACTGGAATGTAAAACATGAAACTATTTTAAAAATAGGAAAGAATCTTTGGGATCTAGGGCTAAGTGAAGTGGTCTTAGACTTACCATGGAAGAGCCAATACATAAAAGAAAAAATTATAAATTGTACTTCATTAAAATGTAAAACTTTTTCTCTGCCAAAGTCCATGTCAAGAGGGTAAAAAGACAAGCCACCAATGGAAGAAAATATTTGTGACCCATATATTCAAAAAAGTGACCAGTATCAGCCCAGGATGTGGCATGGAGGCTAAGGTGCTAGTTCCCGTATGGCTGACTGCATGGTTTGAGTCCCAAACATGGTACATTAAAAATGCAGCAGTTTGAAAACATGCCAGGTGTGTGTGTGTGTGTGTGTGTGTGTGTGTGTGTGTGCCCAAAATCCTGAGAGGACAATAGAGGAGAATGAATTGTGGCATGGCCATCCCCTCTGAGGGGTGATTTCTCACTTTCCTTCTCTCTCTGTCTCTGTCTCTCTCCAGCAAGCACATGCATCCTATAGCAAAAAAAGGAAAAAAAAGGACAGTATCCAGAATATACAAAGGACTCTGGACACACAACTACAGGAAAAGAACAATACAATTAATAAATGGGCAAAAGGTGGGACCGGCAGATGGAGTAATGGTTTTATCACTGGACTCCTACATGGCCATCGGTGGTTTGAGTCCTGGATCTGGCAGCTTAAAATTCACACTGGGCACATGTGTGTGTGTGCCCAAAATCCCAGAGGAGAATGGAGAAGAAGGGATTGCGGTGTGGTCATCCACAGTAAAAGAAGAAAAATGAAAATGGGCCAAAAGTATGAACAGATATTTCACAGGAGAGGATACACAGGTGGCAAATAAGCATATGAAAAGATATTCAAATTCTTAGCTACCAGGTAAATGCACATTAAAACCACAGTGAAATATCACTATATATTTATCAAAATGGCTAAAATAGAAAACATGAAGTGGATCCAAAATTTATATAAAAACTTGCAAATGCGGAAGAAAAGAGAGGGGGAAAACCATCTTCCTGAAATAATAAGCTCTCGATGCCTTTCTTCCTGGTCTTTGTCTCCCCGTTTACATTGTTAGACCGAGTTTATGGGAGGCCATGGCTTTGGACTGACCCCTCCAGGCGCCAGCAGGCCAGAGTGGGTCACTTGTGCCAAGTGCACAGAATCGAACTTGGAAATGGGTCACTTTGCCAAAAACAGGAGATTCCTGTCAACCTGCGTCAGCATCGTAACAATGGTCCCTCAACTTTAACCCTGTAAGCAAAAGAACCTGGAAAGGACCGTCCGCTTTGTCCTCTTCGGCCCGTTTCTGACTAAAGCCAACCGCCACGGCTCAGCTCATCGGAACACTCACTCTATTTTAGAGTGACATGTCACCTGATTCTAGACTCACGAATAAAAGCCAATTCAATCTTCTCAACTAAATTTGTTGTAATTTTTGTCTTTTGACAATATGAAAATAAAATATGAGGGAAGGAGCTAAAATTCAGGGTGGTGAGAAGGTGGGAGCCTTGCTGTCTCCCACCCTCTGTGACATCAGAACTCAATGCTTGCAGAAACCTGGTGACCAGAGACGGGGGAGGGAAACAGTGCCCACCTGTCCTCATTCCACCCAGCAGCCCCACTGGAGGCCATGGCAATCCAGCAGGTGGGCAGCAGGGGGCAGGTAGCTGCTGAGCTGTTTGAACGGAGAAGGGGCAGCCACTGTGAGGACAAGAGGCAGGTGAGGCCTGGCCAGGTGCATGCTGCTTTCCTCCCGTCTGGGCCCCCTTTGCCACTCCAGATCAGAAGGCCCGAAGTCAGGAATGGGCCTTCTCCCCAGCTCTCCCTGGAGCCCAACCGGGAGTGCAGCTAGGGGCTCAGGTGCTTTTTGAAAATGCCACTACTGACACTGTCGGGTTTCGGTTTCGTTCTCAGCACTGCTCGAAGGTGTGTTCCAGGAGGGCTGGTACTTTCTTTAGCTTCCTGCTCTATCCCTAATGCCTAGGACGGTACTTAACTGCAGGGCAAAGGGCAACGCACGGAACAGAAGCGCTCCTGGAAGCATCACCCTCGGCGCTGACATTCAAGCCTCACAGGGGATTTTGTCAAAGTGCAAAGCATTCCCACCTGATGAGCTCAGCCAGCGCATCCACCTCCTGGGACCCACACGACTTCCAACCCTCCCGGGAGGCAGATTCTAGCAACCTCATTCACAGATGGGTAAACTGAGGCTCCGAAAACAAAAAGGCCATACAGCTGGGACAGGTCAGGATTGGAAACCTCATCCATCTGATTCCAGAACGCTTCGAAACCAGACCCACTGGCTACAAAATCCCTGCCTCCCCGGAGGAGGAGGGCGTAAAGGGATGTGAAGGGATCTAGGAGAGTTCGGCTGGCCTTGCCAGACAGGGGAGGGGCTTTATTCTGAGAATAATTAGAAGCTGGTGAAGGATTTCGGGGGGTTTCTTTTAAAATTATTTTTATTTAACTTTATATTATTATTATTATTATTATTATTATTATTATTATTTGATCAGAAAAAGACAGAGAGAGAACATGAAGAACAGAAGCCGCCAGGTCCAAGGCTCCAACCGCAGTCAGCCACGTGGGAGTCCAACATCTTTAACCATCACGCCTAAGGAGAGCAACCAATGACTGAACTATACATATTCAAAGGGCCCGTTCCCTCCTTCATTTCGCTCACACATTTGGTCCCCCGTTCACTTACCGTCCGTGGACTAAATGACTCCTAGGCCGGACCTCACAGCATAGGGCGGAGCCCCGACAGACTCCCATCATGCAGCAGCTTTTCCTAAAAGTCACTCCACAAAAACCAAACCCTAGGAAAACTGCTTTAAGAAAAATCACAGAAAGAGTTCCGCGGTTGGGAGCATGCCTCAAACCCTCAACCACACTTGCAGAGCTACTCCGGTCGCTCACAGAACAGAGGCTCTGAGAAGCCCCACAGCGGAGACCCATGTAGCTTTGCTAATGGGGGCGTTTCCCCAGTGACCACCACCGAGGCCCATCTTTTCTCACTCAAAGACCTTTCGGCATATTTCAAAACCCATTTTACAGATGAGGAAACTGAGGTTCAGAGAGAAGAAGAGAAGAGACTTGGCTCAGCCCCCAAGACAGAACAAGGAAAAGAACCTTGACACTGAATTCCGGCCCTGTGCCTCCATTTGCCTCCACAGCACAAGACAGAAGCCTAGCAGTGAGCCTGCCGGGAGGAAGCCAGCCTGTGCGCGTGATACAGATAGAGGAGGCCAGATAAACCGCCAGCATCCAGGGCACGGAATACTCACCAGGCATTCTGAAGGACGAGATGACTCTGTGTGTCTTCCATGAAAAGATGCCAAAGGAGCGTTGTTAGGAAGTGCACGGTGCAATGGCTTTTGCATGGGGTCTACACCCTAGGCCACCACCCCCTAGAACAAGCTATAGCTCATTATCAGGACTGTCCAGGGGCTTTTTCTCAGCCCCCACTCCACCCCATAACCACGACCCTGATTCATAGATGTGTCGTGGGGCTGGCCCTGTAGTGTAGCAGTGCCCAGGGAACCAGATCCCACATGGCCAGCCATGGCTGCATCCTAGCCCCGGCTACTGGAAAAACACTCCATTCACATGTGCATGCTGAAATCCTGATGGGATGGAGGAAGAAGGGCCGTGGGATGACCATGTCCCACTGAGGGATTCTCTCCCTCACACAGCTGCCTCTGCCAGCTGAAACATAGATGGGTTATGTAGTGTGCACTCTTGACTCTCACGTAAATGGACTCCCACAGTATGACACTTCAAGTCTGGCTTCGTTCACTCATCACTGTCCATGAGACAGCCACGTTGCTACTCTGAGTTATTTTTACTTTTTCAAGATGACAATAATAAAATAGTTGCTAGGATATATTTTTAAAACTGTCCAGGAGAGAAACAAATTGCACAAATCATTTCTCTTCCCCTCCCCTTTTTAGAGAGATTTTTGCTATAGGGTACGTGCACTCACCAGAGAGACAGACAGAAAGCAAGAAATCACCAGCAGGGAGGATGGCCATGCTACAATCCCCTCTCCTTCATTCTCTCCCCTCAACATTTTGGGCACACACACATATATGCCCAGCGTGAGTTTAAGCTGCCAGATCTAGGACTTGAACCATGGTCGACTATGTGGGGAGTCCAGTGACGCAACCATTATGCCATCTGCTGGTCCCCAGATTGTTTCTCTTCATGGTGGTTGCAGATCAAAATCTTGCTTCACAAACTCAGGTGTGTAAGAGATGTATTATTTCTTTAAGGCAAACTAAATCTGACTCAGCCCAAATCCAGTGCATTCGGAGAGAATGCAATGTTAATACACACACACACACACACACACACACACACACACACATTTGGAAAACAAGAAAACTTTAAAGGTGTTAGTAAAAATCTCTGCATTAGAAAACAGGACGAAAATAATTAAACTCGATGGTAGAAAGAAAGAAGTAATAAAGATAAAATCAGAAATTCAATGGGAACCAGCAGTTAGCGTAATGGCTATGTCGCTGGACTCCCAAGTAGTCAACCGTGGTTCGTGTCCCGGACCCGGTGGCTTAAAACTCACGCCGGGCGTGTGTGCGTGCGTGCCCAAGATCCCGAGAGGAGAATGGAGGAGAAGGGATTGCGGCGTGACCATCCCCCCTGGGGGGTGATTTCTCACTTTCTGTCTCTATGTCTCTCTGTCTGTCTGGCGAGCGCACGCGCCCTACAGTGAAAATCTCTCAAAAAAAAAAAAAGAAATTCAAGAAATAAAAAGCAAGTAATAAAGAGAATAAATGATTTCCTTGAAAAGATGAATAAAGTTGGTACACTTCTAAATAGTTTAATTTTAAAGAGAGAGAACATAAATTACCAACATCAAGAAAGACAGAGGAATATCACATCTTCCACCTACAGTAAAAGATGTTAAGGTAATGTTAGGGACAACTTGATGCATTTGTTAACTTAGGTGACATGAACAAACTTCTTGGACATTACAACTTACAAAGTTGACTCAAGAAGAAATAGAAAATCTAAACACCCCAAAATTTTACCAATAAATTCTATCAATCATTTGACACGCAAATAATGCCAGTATTACACAGATTCCTTCAAGAAATAGAGGAGAAAATTCTTACCAACTCACTTTAAGGAGGCAACATAATCTTGATAGAAAACTTGACAAACTTATGCAATGAGAAACTTAAACCAATCTCTCATGATCATAGATACAAAAAAAAAAAACTCAATAAATAGTAGCAAACCAAATCGACAATATATAGGAAGGATAATTCATGAAATAGAGTTTATTGGAGAAACTCAAGTTTGGTCTAGCAGACAAAGGTCAATTACTGTTATGAACAGCAGGTGGCATGGTGGTTAAGGCACTGGACTCTCACGTGGTCGAGCATGATTCGAGTCTCAGACCTGGTGACTTGCTTTCTCATTTTCTCTATCGCTCTGTCTTATCTTTCTGGTAAGCATGCGTGCCCTACAGCAAATTTTTAAAAATAATAATCGGGACCAGCAGTTAGAGTAATGGCTATGTTGCCGGACTTCCATGTAGCTGACCACTGTTGAGTCCAGGACCTGGTGGCTTAAACTCATGCCGGGCGTGTGTGTGTGTGTGTGTGTGTGTGTGTGTCCAAAATCTCAAGAGGAGAATGGAGGAGAAGGGATTGCAGTGTGGCCATCCCCCCTAGGGAGTGATTTCTCGTTTTCTGTCTCTTTCTGGTGAGTGCATGCGCCCTACAGCAAAAACCACTCCAAAAAATAAATAAATAATGATCCTAAATAAAATTAAATATTTTTTATTCAGTTATTTAATTAGGTTCTTGACAAGAAATATTCCAACTTGTAAGGATAAACTCCATTTGTAAGGACAAACACAGATTGCAGGTAACCTTGGAACTGAGGAACAGCTTTGATTTGGGGTAAAATTTGTGAGTCCAACCTCGTGCTGCTCTATAATCTATTGCTCATTTTCTGTGTCGAAGATCTCACATTCCTGGGCTTCAGCAGCTTCTTTATCTTGAAGTAAGCATTGGTGAGGATTTTTACTTAGCTAATATCAATTTTCGCGGAGGTAGCGATGACAAATTTCTGGTGTGTTCTACACAGTGGAACTCAACTGAGGACCAGAAGTCCAGTCACAAGTAGCAAGCCACTGCTCAGCTGCTTCAGGAAAGCCACTCTTAACCTCTGTGACATCCAGTGAAGATGATCAGAAGGTCCCAGGAGTGATGCTGGCTCGCAGCTTTCTCAATGGGTTTTGTGACGGTGGCAAGAACCTTCTCCTTTTTCTTTCAATTCTGGATTTAGTGGCTGAGTATTTCCTCTTGTTCATGGCCTTCCTGGGACACCTGACAGACTGGGAGTATCTGCAGATGCCCTGGACTAGGACGGTGTTTTGGCTACAATGGGGCTTCCCCTTCTTGGACTTTTTAGCCTTGGGGTCACCTTTTTAGCCTTGCCACTGTAATCAGCCTTCTTGGCTTCAGGTTTCTTCTTCTTAGTATCCTGCTTCACAGCTTTTTCACCTGCCATCTTGTATAGTGGGAAAGAGAACTCTGAAATAAATATTTTTCTTTTTTTTACAAACGAAAGGTTTTGGCTACAATGGGGCTTCCCCTTCTTGGACTTTTTAGCCTTGGGGTCACCTTTTTAGCCTTGCCACTGTAATCAGCCTTCTTGGCTTCAGGTTTCTTCTTCTTAGTATCCTGCTTCACAGCTTTTTCACCTGCCATCTTGTATAGTGGGAAAGAGAACTCTGAAATAAATATTTTTCTTTTTTTTACAAACGAAAGAATTTTTTATTTCATTTTCTTTTATACATTCAATCACATTGTTTAGCTTACAAAGTGACTATTTCAGTATGTGAACATTTCTCCCTAGTCCAGTTGATAAAACTATAAAGGATCTTCAACAGATAATACCACATTTATTTGTCCCATTAATGCTTTGCCTTCGTATTCTTTTTCCTAAAAGTCCTTCCTCAGGCCCTACTCTTCCACACACACTATATCTGGTTTTTATACCCATTTACTGTGTTTGGATATCCTTCAGTCAATCAGTTTCAGTCATAGAGTGCGGACACTCGGTATATATTAAGTGGGGACATACAATGTCTTTCCTTCAGAGCCTGGCTTGCTTCACTCAGCAGTAAATCTTCCATATTCTTCCACGTCTGTCAAAAGTCAGGGTTTTGTTGTTTGTTTTTGTTTTTGTTTATGGCTGAATAGTATTCCATAGAGTATATGTGCCACAGTTTTTCTATCCATTCACCTGTTCTGGGGGCATTTGGGCTGTTTCCATGACTTTGCAATTGTGAATAGTGCCGCAATGAACATTGATGTTTTTCCGACTAAAGATTCTTCTGTCCTTTGGGTAGATACCAAGGAGTGGGATTGCTGTATCATATGGTAGCTCTATTTGTAGACTTTTGAAGAATCTCCAAATTGTTCTCCACAGTGCCTGGACTAATTTACATTCCCACTAGCAGTGTAAGAGAGTTCCCCTTTCACCACACCCCCGCCAACACATCATTTTTTGTTTTTCTTTTTAATCTTAGACATTTTGACTGGGGTTAGGTGCTATCTCATTGTGGTGTTGATCTGCATCTCCCTTACAATGAGGGATGTTTTTCATATGCCTTTTGGCTATTTGTATGTCATCTTTAGAGAATGTTATTTTCAACTCATTCTCCCATCTCCTAATAGGGTTGATGATCTTTTCTCCAAATAACTGCTTGTGTTCCTTGTGTATTCTCATTATCAGTCCCTTATCTGATGCATAATGTACAAAAATATTTTCCCATTCTGAGAGCTGTCGATCCACACTAATAACTGTGTCTTTTGCCATGCAGAAACTTCTTAGTCTGATGTAATCCCACTTGTCTATTTTGGGGATTCTAAAAAATCAGTTAAGGCATTTACCACAGAAAGGAGACACTCGTAATACTCTCAGTGGATACAGAAAAAAATTCAGTACTCATTCATGTTAAAGTACTCAGAAACTAAGAATAAAGAGCAACTTCTTCCACGTTATAAAAGGTGACAATAGAAAATCTACAACTAATACCTTAATGAAACAACTCCACCCTTTCCCTCTAAGATGTGGAAGGTGAGGATGTATGTCTACACAAGGATTCAACGTGAGTGTTCATGGCATTTTTATCCATAACAGCCCTAAAGTGGAATCAACCCAAAAGACCATCAAGAGAAGACAATAATGTGTTATATTCATATAATATAAACTTCAATAAAATACACAGTATAAACACTCATCAATAAAACTGAACAGGGACCAGCAGTTGGTGTAATGGCTATGTCACTGGACTCCCATGTAGTTGACCATGGTTCGAGTCCCGGACCTAGTGACTTAAACTCATGCCGGGTGCATGTGCATGTGTGCCCAAGATCCTGAGAGGAGAATGGAGAAGGGATTACGGCCGGGCCAACCCCCCTGGGGGGTGATTTCTTGCTTTCTATCTGTGTGTCTCTGTCTTTCTGGCAAGTGATGTGCCCTACAGCAAAAACCTCTCCAAAAATAAATAAATAAATAAAAATGAACACACAAAAACATGGCGGCATTTCAGAAATATTGTATTAAGAGAAAGAAACTAAACCTGAAAGGGCACACACCATGTGGTTCCACCCATATGAAATGAAGGAGCAGGCAGGACCGCTCCACAGTGAGAGAAAGCGGACTAGTGGTCCTCTCTTGCAGGGCATGAGTAAAGAAAAAGTTGACGGCAAAGAACTTTCCAAGGTGATGCAAACGTTCTCTCTCTGGATTAGAGCGTTAGTTCACAGAAATAGACATGGGTCAAAATTCATCAATGCGTGCGTTTTTATACCACAATAAAATGAATTTTTAAGTATCGATTTAAACCACTAAAGTAAGGTAAAGAATGAGAGCAGAGAGGGGATTTCCTTCTCAGAAGGGAGGAGAGGGAGAACCCAGGCTAAGTGTCAGTAAGATGCCATGTTCATGGCTTTCGTAGTAAGCACGTGTGACTTAGGTAACTACCCCAAAAAGCCAAGCTCATAAAACTATCTTAAGGTATCTCCATGCCTAGCCTCTTAGACAGAAGCAGGGGCCTCTCCCCTCCAGGAATTCACCTCCGGCTCCCTCCCTCCTTGCCCCCAGACGCTGTTGGTGCTGCTGGTCTTGGTGGTGTACTTGGGCATGGGGATATCAGGTGAGCATTCCGGAGGCAGAGAGGAGACCAGGTCCACGTGGAGTAAGGTGAAGTATTTCGAAGACACTTGTTTGCCAAGGGGGTCTCCACGACCTGCCTTCCCACCTCTCCCTCTTCCCAGTAGGGAACCCCAGTAGGGAACCCCAGCCGTGTCTATTTCAACTACTGCTCAGCTGCCCTTCAGTGATTGTGTTTGTGTCTGTTTCAGGAAGAAGCTGGGAGGTGTCAGAAAGGATCAGAGAATGTAACTACCCCCAGAATCCTGTGGCTTCCCAGGTAACACACCCAGCAAGGACTGCAGGAACTACTGCAGTGTGGGCAAGCTGGGTCAGGACGGACAAGCAGGAGCTGGCCAGGTGGAGAAGGTGGGGATGGGTACTCCATGCAGAACAAGTAGCGTGTGCAAAGGCCCGGGGAACTTCTTCAAACCAGCAGCAAGGGGTGTCCTGTGTGCAAAAGTTCAAGATGCAGTTTTGGGGTTTACTTTTTAGGGTC